AGAGAGCCGAAAGGCTGAGGCTCAGGAATAGGGAGGAAGACTTAATGGCCCTCCATACCTTATTTCTTATAAGATAGTGTTTTTTACCATGAACACTAGTTATCTTTTCAAAACAAGGTAGACGTATGTCACATTTGACAGTTTTACAAGTTTATGCGTTTAAGGCCAAGAGCAAATCAAGGCCCTTATAAATGTGACATCAACGTGATAAATACCCGGTCATCCGTTATTTAGTGATTTTATGACGTTGGCATGGCCAGATGACCTGTGGGTTGGGTGTCCGTGGACATTCTGTGGTTGTGGAGGGTTTCCGTGACTGTCTCAGGGGAGGAAGGCTTTCCGCAGCGATGACCAGGGGAGGGAGGGGAAGTGTCGGGATAAGGCCTTCGAACACACAAGCCCCTGCCCAGTGCACATGCCAGGCAAAGCGTCTCTGTGCCTGAGTCTCGGTGAACCCGCTCAGAGGTTGAAACAGGTGCTCATTGCTTACAACGCTGCCAGTGGACCCTCCCCCCCTTCCCTGGCATGATTGCTCCCTGTTTTCCTTGCTTCTTCAAACAAATGTATCCCACTTTAAGAAAACCCACTATTTGAATATTGGATTTCCAGAAGAACAACAACAACAAGAAAAACACTTTAAAGGAGTGCCCACTTGCTTTAATTAGGATTCCTTTAAATATGAAAATAATAGACATTTAAAATAAGATTTAACACACAAAAATGATAGGGAATTTCAGGAATACCATCACTGAAGACACAGGTGCTGGTCATGACTCGCTGGTTGGGTGCACACACCTACTGGGAGTCGGTAGAGTGACATGGGTAGGAGCACGGGTGGGGGTCCAGAGAGCCCTGTGTTTGGGTCCTTCCTGCCACTCATTAGCTGAGTCTGACCTTCCACAAGTGACGTGACCTCTTAAAACCTCAGTATTTCTTAAAGAAATAAAACGAGTGCATGATGCCTCCCTTGTAGTTAGCTGTATTAAATGAAAAACATAGGTAAATACAGATAGATCAGATAGAGGTGTATTTTATCCTGTATTATATCTTACCATACATTATAATATCACATATATTTCCTTCATTTCTGCTTGCCTGAATGGGAGCAAATGAGTGGCAAGAATAAAACATGTTATTATATTTTCAGCAATATAATATAGGTACCTACATGTAAATATAAGTGTGTGTGTGTGAGTGTGTGTGTGTGAGTGTGTGTGTGTGTGTGTGTGTGCGTGTGTGTGTGTGTGAAAATATAGATATAGCACCAGCATAGTTCCTGGAACATGGTAGACATTTGGTCAATGGTGGTTACTGTTGTGAAAAGTAACACAAAATGCTCTTCACAAAGACTAACTTTATGCATAACACTCCAGGCTATTTTACCGCACTGGTACAGAGAGGAGGGAAAGCCTGGATAACTGATAGCTCCATGGCCTCAAAATGATGGGGAAACAATTAGCAGGCACATACGTGACTGGTTGCTGAGATTCAACCTGTAGCCATTGCTGACATCTACTGAGCGTGGGATGGCTGGCCCCTCCGCAGAGTCAGTGCTGGGACTCCACAGCCTTCCCTCGTTTGCCGTAGGGTACCACCTGTTCTTGCTTTCTTCATGAAAAACACCCCATGCAAACCTTTTATTTCCCTTCCCAGGCAAAGATGGCATTTCCCTCCGAGTGAGAAGGGCAAAAATGATACACATGGCTTCCAATTTCGAGACTACATGAGTGCATTCCCACAGGTGACCAAAGCTCTCTTCTTTTCCCGTGTTCTGGCCTCCCCGCCTCCCCCTTTCCTTCCAGCGCTTGTCGCTGGTTTAATAAAAGTTGAGAATCCTCACCCAGGGCCCCGCAGCCACGTGTGAGGAGACGCTGAGTCTGGTCTGAAGGCGCCTCTCTCCTGCTCCCTGCGAGTAAAGTGACCTTTCTAAGCGGAGGGAAGTGGGCTCCGATGACAGTCGTGATGGATGCGGTCATGTTCACTCAATAAAATAAGGCCCAGTGCATTTGAGGATAAATCAGGGGAATGTGCAGCCCCACCTGTCTGTCTCCATCACTCATTTCCACTGTCACTTTCACAGCGGCTGATGGATCACAGTTGCTGTAAAATTAGACAGCCTTTAATCTCATTTCATCCTGATTAGCTTCTCTTTACCCTTTCCCTCCGACTCACTGACTGACACGCTAAAAACGCGCACGGGGCCGCCCGCGAGCGCGGAGCACGGACTTCTCCCCCCGCACCTGCGCGTGAGGGCGCGGCGAGGGCCCACCTCCCGGGAAGCCCGGGGAGGGTCCGGCCGGTCTGCTTCGCTATGTGAAAGGTGATCCGTAAGGGCAGGGCCTCCTGCCTCTTGGAACAGGTGTTTGCCCTTGCTCGCTGCCCCTGTTGATTTCACTTCCCTTCAGGTTCGATCAGAAACCAGAGAAAGCAGGTCTTTTGCAAAACGCCAACCTTGATTTAATTTAGATTCTCTCCTAATAAACTCGGAGCCTGTTACATCCAGAAGAATTCCAAAGAGCTCTTGGGTGTGTTTATAGCCTCTCCATTCATGGTGGTAATTCAAAAGAGACAATAATTCAGGAATGAGAATATAGAAATATTCTGCCAACAAAGATAGCATAGGAGGTTTAAAAAAGTGTCGATAAAGAGGAATATCTTCAAGTAGCCTTTACTTCAGTCACCTCCTCCCTCATTTCAAAGGTGTCAGTGGTTAGCCTAGTGCAATCGTTTCGTTTGTTTGCATGAAGCATAACAGGAGGAGTAATCACATGAAAAGGGGGCTTCAGAATAAGTCATCTATTACTTCCTTCACTTCATTTCTGCTGCCCAAGTGAGAGCAAGTGAATGGCAAGAACAAAATACAAGCATGGCTGTATTTTCAGGGACAGTGCTGTAATATAAAGCTGGCCTTCCGGTTACAAAGAAGAGAATACCATTTGTATTGCTCATAAGATGCGGGCCTTGAACGGGCCAAAAATTATAAGTAAACGTTGGAAGAGGGTCTGCCATCGGCGAGTTGGCTGTAGCCGGTGGCCTCTGTTTTTCCGCCCATTTCTTCCGTGAGCCGATGGCCATCGAGGCTAAGAGTTGGCGCTGACCAGCTGACAGGATGATGGACGGAGTCACATCAGGCCGTTCATGAGACACATAATGTATATATGGGTAGCGTCGTTGGTTGTTGGTGTTTTGGAACCATCCTCATAATCCAGACAATGACGAGTTCATTTGAAAAAGAAAAAAGCAAGGATGTTCAAAACCTATCCAATCTTAGTTGCTCAATGAACCCAACATCCACTCTGCTCCAAATGGATTCTAAGAAGCAAAGCTGCAGAATCTATCTATCTGGTTGAAAGCTTTTCCCAAAGAGATAACTGAGGGTTGAGGAGGAGGGGGAGAAGGGGGAGGGAGGGACATTCCCAAGATGACCCTCTGTGTCCATCGACCTAATTAATGGACCTCCCAGACCAAGGGCACCCCCAGTTCCTCCTCCATTATCCCCGAAATCAGGGCTTTACATAGCAGTGCCTTCTCCCTCTTGGCTGTCGGCTCAAAGGACAATGAATGGTCACAGCAAAAATAAAAACGTGATCAAATCATCAGAACTCCTAGAATCCTGGAGTAAAATGCTCCAACAAAATGGTTTGCTCTTTCAGAAACTGCATTAGAGGTTTCAAAGCTTTGCCTAGGAATTCCTTTTAGTTGCATACCTTAGCCTGCCTAAGCACATTCTGAAAATAATAATAATAACAACAACAACAATAAAAACAAAATAAGATGAGAGAGGGATGTCCTCCAAAATGCATCGGGTGTCAGACAGGGGCCCTCTCTTTCCCTCCCCCCCCCCCCCCCCCACCCCCGTTGGAGGGAGCGCCAGAGGCAGAGCTGGCCTTGGCGCATATTGATTTCCCAGCGCACTGGTTCCTTAAGTGCTCTGCTGATCCGTGTCAGGCAATACGTTCCCTGCCCGAGCGTGCACATCGCCTCCCTCTCCCCGCACCTAGATTTAAGGTGCCCATATGATGAGCCGAACAAGGACATCATTCTACTCCGGGTGTCGCCCGGGCCGAGCCACCGCGCGTGTGATAACTGATGCTCGGCCGGTCACATTTACCATGGGAGATGACACGGCAGAGGTCAACACCGCACTGCACGTCGGGGGGGAAAGGGGTGACGGGGAGGGGGACACGGGCGTCCTGTTCTGGTTGCCTGTGTCTCCCAAATGAAAATGTAAATGAGAACCAACCCCGAGAAGCCTGGCTTTCACGGGCTCCTGGCTGCCGCCCCCTCTCCCCCCGCAGCCCGCGCACTGGGGCAGGGCAGCGGGATGGATATCCGTGATGTTCCGGTGGGTTTTATCTTTGTTCCAGAAGAGTTCCTAAGCGGAGAGCTAGGCAGTGTGTGATGGTGCTGCTAATGACATTGTACAGGAAATTGAGCGTGTGCCTTTGGAGGAGGCATTAAATCAGCAGGACCTTAATTTAAAAGCTGAACACTGTATGGAAAGCCGGCCCGCTGGGTGCTGGGGGACAGACAGCCACCCAGCACCCCCAGTGTGTTCACGGAGGGATCGCCAGCAAACTGAGGGGGGCGGGGCCTCTGAATGCCCGCCCCTCCCACCCCCCTTGTGTGCAGAGTTAGCTCCTCCAGGAGGGAGCCCGCCCTGACCATTGGGAGCCCCAGTCCCTGCTTCAGAGCGAAAGCCCCACCCGCAGGCCAGGGCGGGCAGGCTGAAGGCCTGCAAGCAGCAGTGACAGGCTGTTCTTGACTAATTCATGGGCGAACTTGATGTAAAATTCATCCAGAGGGGCCGGGCCTGCCGGCTGGGCACGGCCCCCTGAGCCCCTGAGGTGGGCGGGCTCCCTGCTCTGCTGCTGGCTCGCTCCTTCCCAGGGACTTCGTCTCACGTTCTCTACCCTTTGGTGGAAGCAAATGCCTAGTGAGCCACGGGCTGGAGCCAAGATGGCGAAGGTCATGCATCTGTGTTTTCTTCTTCGTTCCAGTCATGCCCTACAACAGCGCCCACCACTGCGTCGTGGAGGTGGAGAACTTCCTGTTCGTGCTGGGCGGAGAGGACCAGTGGAACCCTAATGGTAACTAAATGTGTTTTCTATTTTTTAGATATATTTTTGTTTATTTCAGAGAGGGAGAGAGAGAGGAACATCAATGATGAGAGAGGATCATTGGTTGGCTGCCTCCTGCATTCCCACTGGGGATGGAGCCTGACTCCCCAGCATGTGCCATGACCGAGAATCGAACCGTGACCTCCTAGGTCAACGTTCAACCACTGAGCCACTCCAGCGGGGCCTGATGGTAACTATTTTTATTTTTTTATTTTTTATGATGGTAACTACTGAACAACGCAGTAGCAGCTGGCCCATGAGTCTGTGTGCCAGGAAAGGCCCTGGTGGCTACAGCATCTTGACCGTGGGAAATGTGTGTCTATGCCAGTGACCGGGGAGGAGTCAGTGAGGTGGCTGTGCAGGGAAGGAAGGTCAGGCCTGAGGTGGCAGAGGATGGCCACAGGGCGCTCATCACAGGCTGCCTGGGGCTCAGCTCTGAGCTGGCACTGGGCCCCTCTCCTCACCGGCCCTCGAGGGATGGGTGCCAGGCCCCTGGCCTCCCCAGAACAGGGGCCAGCAACAGCGCTGAGAATTCCCCCCCGCCCCCATCTCCACCACGGCCTCCCACCCACAGCGTGATCTGCCGTCGCACTCACAACGCGTTCGCTGAGCTGCTTTGCAGCTTCTATTCCTGGGAACCCATTGGAGGTGGCTCACCTTTCGCTGGCTCCTTCCACAGCTCCCCGCCACCCCGCCTGTGGGTGTGGGTATGGGCGCTTCAGACATTCCCCGCGGAGAAACGAAGCCTTTTGACACATCTCCCGGGGCCGAACACGAGGGGGACCTGGGCCTGGCAGAACACGCACCAGGTCGGGGGGGGAGGGGGGAGCTTGCACGTGGAGGGGGAGCTGTGGCTGGACCTTCCGTGTAACAGGGATGCTTATGGCCGAGAAACCACAGAACAGCTGGCAGGTACACGTTTTCACTTTAAAACGCCGAACATCCCGATGAGATGACTCGGGCAGCGTGCGTCTATTTTAGCTCGGATGCTCTCTCAGCATCTGCACCAGGCGGATTATGGAGAATGGGCACATCTGTTCACGCTGGAATGTCTTAAAGGAGTGCCACCCAGCCACCTCCGGGAGCGTTTCTCCGAAGCCAGGGCACATTCTTCCCGAGACCTGCCGCCTGCTGGTTCCCGGCTCTCCTTGCTGGAAAGGGGACAGTCCTGGGCCTTGAGAGAACAGGAGCGAAAATGATAGGTCATCTCTCTCCTCCAAGTTTCCTTTGAAATGACGGCTTTGATGGTACAAAGCCTCCCGCTTCCCCCCCACCCTCATACCCCCAGCAAGCGCCCCAATTGCTGCCTAACCCGTCCTTCCTCGCCAGTGATTTCTGCTGACCGGAGCGTCTATAAGGGAACGTGCTGTCACTAGCATCAGGCTGATCTGAGCAGTGTCTGCAGAACCTTCTTTTTAAAAGCCAGGTCAAAGCTACTTCCTGACCCAAGGCCCGGCTGCAGCTCCCGTTTCAATTGTCCTGATCAGCACTTTCTCCCACCCTCAGGCTTAACTGCTCCACACCTTCTCTCTCAACTGCCTTTCTCCACAGCCTCCCTCCTCACTCAGTGTGCAGCCTCTCTTCTTAGTCCAATCGCAACAGAAGCAATCGAGGATAAACATCTGTATCTTGCTCCTACCAAGTCTATGCACATGTATCTGTGGCTACCCATGTATCCTGTCTTTTCTCCTATGACTGTCTCTGCCCCTATCGAAGGCCTGTTCTTCACTCCCTCTTGCTTGCTCAATCACTTTTGCAATATATTTCCAAACCAAATAGAAGCTTCTTGAGGAGGTATGTCCTCCAGCTCTAATCATCTTCTTTTTATGGCAGCAGTTCTAAAAAGCATTCTCCTACCCTCTTTTCCCCGATTTCTCATATGTTAGTCTCCTGGAGTGGTCCCCACTCAGGCTTCCATCCCCACCCGTCCACGGAAGCCGTACTCTCCAGGCCACCACCATCCTCCCTGTGGTCAAATCGAATGGTTAGTTCTCCGATGCTCACTCCTCATTCTGAAACACTGCTTGACACGGCTTCCAAAATGCTACACTTTTCCTCCTATCTCTGACAATGTCTTTCCTTGTCTGGTTTTCCTTCTTCTGACCCAGGGCTAATTCCCAGGATTTGTATTACCTTCCATGGTCATACCCTCTGCCTAAAGGGGTTTCCTTCTGTTCGATGACTTTACATAATATTTCTGGAATAATAATGCCATGATTTGCACCTACCGCCTCATTTAGCCAGTGGTCTGCCAGGTGCTTCCACTTTGAGATCTCAAGGTCAAGTCCAAAGCAGCAGAACCCTTGACTTCTCTCCTCAACCCCCAAACTACCCCTGCTGGTTTTCCCCACCTCAGCAAATCGCATGGCCTTCTGTCCAGCTACTCAGGCTAAAAAAACCTGGAAACCGTCCTTCATTATCTCCTCTTTATCTCAAACTAACAATCAGAAAATTTTATTGGCCGTTTCCATGCAATAGATCCCAAACCTGACCACGTCTCACTGCCTGAACCTTCCTTCAGTGGCCTATTGATAGCTCTGCTGCTTCAAGAGCGGCGCCTCTACAGTCTGTTCTTCACACAGCAGCCAGAGAAGTCTTTGTAAGAGACACATTAGGCCCTATTCCTTGCTTACTCAATACCCCCACAGGCCTGTCTTCATTTTTTATGGACTCCTACACTAGTCCACAAAGCACACTGCTCTGGGCCTTGACACCCCTCCGACTTCTGTCCCTGTCGTTCCAGCGTTCCTGCTGGGTTTGAATTCATGAGCAGCTCAGGAGTTTCTGCTCCATACCCCACGGCCTGAGAGGCTCACGCTGCACATATTTGCATGGCTTGCAAAAGGCATCTGTGACGTTCTACCTAAGCTGGCCTCCCCTCTACCAATCCCCGCCTTCATCTACTTGATGATATAGTCTATATTAGTTTATTCATTTATCAAAATAGGAACTTGGCCTTCCCTCCCCCCATTATATCCTCAGAATCTAGAACACAAAAGACACATAATAAGTACTCAATAGATAACTGCAGTTAGTAATTGGGTTTTGTATACATGCCTATGTGGAAACATGCATGTACATGCACGCATGCACACAGGCACACATACATGCACATGCATCTCAGATGATTGTCATTTCAGGTGCTCCACAGAAAATGGAATACACTCCTTTGCTTCCATTTCCTGGTGACAATCTGTGTGTAAAGTAAGAATAATGTTAATACCTCAGAGGCATTGCTGTGCTTATTGGGTTCAGCAGAGGGGATAAGCTGGTTAACCAGCTCCAAAGGTTCATGTTCCCCATTCAGCCCGTGTACCTGCGAGAGGGCACAGCAACTGTGCTTCCCTCAAACACACACACACACACACACACACACACACAACGTATAGATTAAAACTGACTTCTTTAAACCTCGTATTGTGGCGATCGCTACTATTTCCACAGGGAGAGAGGTTCTCCCACTCCTGGAATTCTGGGGTCATTTGAAGAAGAAAAAAAGCAAAAAAAAAAAAAAAAAAAAAAAAAAAAAGCTCTAGCTGGAGATACCACACAGGGCAGTCTTGGAACTGATGCTTTATAGGCGATAACTCCCTGTTTTTAAAGCATAAAAACACCAAAGCCTAGAGTGTTTTACCCTAACTTTGGGATGAAACTGGTTTGACAAACATATTTGCTCTCATTATTAGGGTTCATTTATTTTTATCAGAACTCATTAAAAGGGGAGCAAAAAGGGAGGGAAAGGGAAAACCAATGGAGGTGGCTCGTTTTTTCTTCTACTGACTCCACTTCCCAAACCCTGTTAGGGAGTCCCTCTGCTTCGTGCATCTGTTTGGTAAGCCTGAGAGCAGAGCTGTCTTATAAAATACTGTTAAATGTGGAAAACCACAGTGGAATGAATCCAGGTTTTGTGTGTATTTTGCAGGAAAACACAGTACCAATTTTGTCAGTCGATACGACCCCCGCTTTAATAGCTGGATACAGCTCCCACCCATGCAGGAGAGGTAAGTGTTTGTTTCTCGTGTTGGAAACGCCGTGGTGGCTGCACAGGAGGTCTGGGTGTGGAAGGCCTGCCCGGATGAGGCATGCTCAGGGGAACAGGGAAAGGTATTTGAGGCAACATACAAACCTTGGGCCGGCCAATGTGGATGAGCTGCCTTGGCAACTCAATGGAGAAAAATAATCAAGTCAATGATTTATCCTCGCGTAGGAAGAAAAACAGTTTTCTGGCTGTCCTTCCTTTCCCACATTGCATTGGCTTTGGGGCAAGCAGAGCTCCACTCTCACTGGCTGCCCCACTCTCCTGGGCTGTGATATATTTATTTATTTTAAATATATTTTATTGATTTTCCACAGAGAGGAAGGGAGAGGGACAGAGAGCTAGAAACATCGATGAGAGAGAAATATTGATCAGCTGCCTTCTGCACACCCCCCACCGGGGATGTGCCCACAACCAATGTACATGCCCTTGACCGGAATCGAACTTGGGCCCTTGCAGTCCGCAGACGGATGCTCTGTCCACTGAGCCAAACTGGTTTTTTCCGTGGCTGTGATATATTTAAATCCTAATGGAAATATAAAACATCGTGTTTACAGTGATGTGCGTTTTGATGCTCAGATTTCAATATTAAACTTTTCAAGTCACACTGATTCAAGTCCTTCCCATTTGCCTCCTCAACTGTCTTTCCATCATACATTCAAGAGCCTGTCACTTGTTAGCTTTGAACTAAACAGTTTTGTGAGGGGTCCTCTCATTTTTTATATACCGTGTTTATCTCGCTCAGTTCTTGTGCCAGAGGACATGAATGACAACTCCACTTCCACCTCCTGGGCTCTCCTGGCTGTCCCTTAGGCATGAGGCCGTGACTCAGTGCGCCTATGCAAGTTCGCAAGCTAAATTTTCCGCACTTGGTTCTTTTCAAATAACATCTCCACATCCTCTTGAGCAAATTCCTCAGTCTAATTGTAACAAGAATCAACAACCTATTTTCTCGATTGAATTATTTAAGGAATAATTTCTTATTTCTTTCATGACCCTTCAAACGGTTCCTTTTTTTTATTTTTAAAGCATTCAATCAGATTGCACTGAGATCACATTAGATCCTTCATCATATATTCCAAGTTAAAAAGAAATTTTCAGGCCTAGCTGGTTTGGCTCAATGCATAGAGCATAGGCCTGTGGACCAAAGGGTCCCAAGTTCAATTCCAGTCTAAGGCATGAACCTCGGTTGCAGGCTCCTCCCTAGCCTGGGCCCTGGTCAGGGCTCTTGCAGGAGGCAACCAATCGATGTGTTTGTTTCTCTCACATCAATATTTCTCTCTGTCTTTCCCTCTCTCTTTTCCACTTTCTAAAAATCAATGAACAAATATTCTTGGGTGAGGATTTTTTTTTTTTTTAAATAAAGGAACTTTCAGATTATGCCATTCATTAAAAAATGGACATTACTACAGAAAGACTATAAAGAAACTTACTTTCTATCCCACGTACACATGTTAAGACTTTCTTATAAGAGACTAAGAGCTACACACTGAAAATAACGAGGCACATTATGTGGAAAGGATCTCAGACACGTTTAGGAACGTCTAATCAAAAGGTACGTCCACAGATGACTCTAAGCCAGCTGATGCACTGCCATGCCACTCAGCCTTCCCGTCCCTATGCCGGGGCACATGCTAGTAAAAGCCTCCGGGGGGTCTTTCTTCTTGTGTCTCACACGTGGGGCTTCTCTCCTGGTTGCTGTTATCATGGCCCCATCACTTCATCCACACCCTTTCATCCACACCATTCAAAAAAAGTCTCACTGAAGCCATATTTTTAAAGTGAGCATCAAGACCGTATTTGAGATGTCAGCATCTCCCCACCCTGGTCCCCTTCGCTGGGGGCTGGGCGCCACGATCGTTAACCTTCACGCCGAGACTTCGGGAGGCATCACTCATGTCGCGGTCAATTATCTCGCCGTGGAGCCCCTCGGGATGAGAAGTGTTGCTGCAAAAACCTAATTAGTAATTTTTTCAAATGTGCATTGTTTACTTGATCCTCGATAATGACTTCCTCGGAGGCACTCTGGCCTCTCCTGGCGGGGTCCGACGAAGACGGTTCTGAGCAGCTCATTGACCTGATAAAAGGGCCCTCCACGGTCCGTCGGCCCCCGCCAGCCGCCGATGACAGGATGGACGGTCTAACGTTTCTCCGCGAGTCATTATGGTACATCATGTCAGGGCCCTGGTAAGAGGGTTGTTGTTTTTGTTTTTTGTTTTTTTTTACATTGAGAACAATCAACTCGACAGAGCAAATAGAGAGCTCCTGGCCAAGCGGAGGGGCACAGGCAGCGCCCACGGATGCCCGTCTGTCTTCCAGCTCCGCGTCTCCTATGGGTTGGCTGACCCGAGCAGCTGCCCACAACTGACAGGGAGATCTTTCTGTCTTCGCTGCCACTCAGAATAGCAAGAACGGCCACTTATCCGCATGTTCTAATTGGTGATTAAACAAAGAGGGAGAAAACCAGAACATATGAGACACAGGCTACACATCAGAAGAGAATTTCCTTGAATGTTGGAGTGAGTTCATTCGCATTGTATATAGATCATGAATCAAACCACCCACCAGAAGTTTCCCAGGCCACCCCACTCTGTTAGCTGCCACCAGACTGCTAATTAAGTTGCCAAACGAGCTGAGGAGAATAGAAACGAGTTGGAAAACACTCCGGGGTAACCCGTTCTCTGAATCACAGGGCTGGCGGGACTGGACGCCTAGGCCAGCTTTCCTCATTAGCGCATCCAGAAGAGTATGACCCAATGCAGAATGCCACCCCATGTCCCCGGGGAAATGGGCACACAGCCTCAGTCAGGGCTTCTCCAGCACAGGTCCGCTCCTGGACTGCATGCTGCTGCCTGTGAATTTCCTGACGGAAATGATTAAACAAAAGTATAAATTTAAATGTCGTGCAGAAGGGTTGTTTTGGTCTCGGATTTGGGATTTGGTTCTTCAGAAAAGATGAGGGCAAAATATGAAAACTTGACTCAATTGAAACATTTTGGCGGCTTTAAGGTTTTTTTTTGTTGTTGTTGTTTTGTTTTTTGTTTGTTTGTTTTATAAAAATAGACATTTTAGGTACTATTCTTATGGAGATCTTATTCCCTAGCTAGTGGGGGGAGGGGAGAGAGAGGGGAGTCCCACCACCAAAGCTTGAATAGAGGGTTTGCATACTTATCATGACTGATGGGAAGAAAAAGAAAAAGCCAGTTTGGAGAACAGAAACAAAGCATGTGTTTCACAGAGCAAGTGAAATTTAGCAGCAAATACATCAGAAATTTCCCAAATTTAACTCTGTTTCTGGAAGCCTTACAAGAGACAATATTCTGTTTGAAAATCTATTGTTGCTTTAAGCTGATGATGAAATTCAAAAATGCAAGCTGAGATGAGGTGGTGATTATTATTCCGTCTCAGGCTGTAGATATAAACTGACCACCTCAAGGGTCAGAAGGACACAGGAAAACTAGTACAATATTCGGGATTTGATGCATGTTTGTAAATGTTACCGTTGTCCTTTGTAACTTATCTCAATCCTTTGAGCATTAGCTGTGGCGATGGAGTAAGGAGGATCTTGTAGCGGGGAGAGATGATCAATTCAAAATACACTGTAATCCCACTAAGGAATCTTTAATCATCTAACTTTTCCAAAAAGAGCTAAATCACCCACGCCAGGTAGGAAGAGGCAGGGCAGGGAGCACACCCAGGAGGCAGATTTGCACCTGGAGCAAAAGCTCACAGTGGCTGGCAGGCCCTGACCCAGTGTGTCTGTGACCTGTGTTGTGAAGGCTGACTCTGGGCACGCAAGGGATGGAGTCAGAGACTCTGCGTCCTCGCTGCCGGAAATGCTAACAGGAATACGCACTTTTCGCCAGGGAGGGAAACCTATGGGCTGTTGTTTCCCATTTAGATCCTAACAGTGACACTGTGTGGATGAAGCCAGGAGTACACACGGAGCATCCAATCAGGAACACCTCGGCTGAAAGAGCCAGTCCTGGCAGGCTGCTCAGGGCCTCCGTGGAGAAGGAAAGGGAAGCGAGAACTTTGAAATGTAGACGATAAAAAGGATATCACGCTCCCAAAGAGGGATCTTCCGAGTATGCTCCACTACCAGCGCTTGCATGGAGCGTTTGCCTACTTGTCATGATTGATGGGCATTTTTTCTTAGACCAACATACTAGTATAGTGCATAGAAGAACTCACCACCTTACTGCCCACAGAGTCCAAATTCCTTTTAAATGGCAGAGTAGTGAAATTAGTAAACTAATTATTTCAGAGGCTCCAAGACCTGTCACAGGCTCATCTGGGAAAGGAACCCTGTTCTATCCTGTTTCAATGGTGCAAAGATATATCAATGTCCACATTTTTATAGACATGTGTCAGTTTTCTCAATGAATCGTTTTAACTGAGGAGGTAAAATCATCTTGACTTATCCTATTTCATAAGAGAGCAGTAGAAATCTGGCCAGAGACATGAAAAGATTCATCTTACAACTGAAACTGGGTACCCTTTGACCAACCACTTCCCCACCTAGATGCACTTAATTTTGTAATTGTTTTTAAACCTAATTTTATACTTCAATGAGTTTTTACTCCTCTATCCCAGAAAACTCTAGTTTTTTTAGGTTTGTGTTCCTTTGAAAATACAATTCAATCTTCCTCCAAAACCTTTCTCCATATTCTTTCCCAAAAATGCACATACGCAAAACACATTTTAGAACAATTTCAAAAGAGCTTTCTGGACTCCTCAGAAAACACAGCCGGGGTTAACCACCCTTACTTTGTGAAATCTGTCCCTCCTGCTCTTCATTCTCCTCCCTACATCCTTTTTCCATCATTGTTGTTCATCCTCCTCCTGAATTTTCCCCAGCACGTATGTGGGTTTTTTTTTAAGCATCAAGAAAAATATAGGAAAGCTGAAACTGGTTTGGCTCAGTGGTAGAGCGTCGGTCTACGAACTGAAAGGTCCCGGGTTTGATTCCGGCCAAGGGCATGTACCTGGGTTGCGGGCACATCCCTAGTAAGGGGTGTGCAAGAGGCAGCTGTCTATGTTTCTCTCTCATCGACGTTTCTAGCTCTCTATATCTCTCCCTTCCTCTCTGTAAAAAATCAATAAAATATATTTAAAAAAAAATATATATATAGGGGGGAAAAAACAAATATAGCCAAAATACTACTTTGAGACGGTGAAGAATAGCCGAACCATATGATCCCACAATCCCACTTCTGTACATATGTCCGAAGGAACCAAAGTCAGTATCTTGAAGAGATTTCTGTACTCTCATGTTCATTGTAGCATTATTCACTATAGCTAAGATGTGGGAACAACCTTGTCTGTCCACAGAGAAGTGGGTAAAGAAAACAAAGGTGTATGCATAAAATAGAATATTATTCAGACATAGAATTGAAGGACATCCTGCCATTTGAAACGGTAAGTCATTATGCTGAGTGAAACAAGCCAGATGGAGAAAGACAAACACTGTATGATGTCACTTATATGTGGAATCTTAAAAATGTTGAGCTTAATGGAAACAGACTAGAATGGTGATTGCCCGGGGGCTGAGTGGGAGTGGTCGGTTGAAGGGTACACAATTTTAGTGGTGAGATGAATAAGTTCTGAGGATCTGATGTCTGCTGACTATAGTGAATAGTGGGTTATACACTTGAAATTTGCTAAGGGAGTAGATCTTAAGTGTTCTCATAAAATAAAAATGGAGAGTAACCATGTCAGGTGATAGCTGTGTTAATTAACTTCATAGTAGATACCCTTTTACAATGTATGCATGTATTAAATCATCACATTTTACATTTTATATATGTTATAATTTTATTTGTCAATTTTACTTCAATAAAGCTGGAAATAAAATAAAACTGAATACATCACCATATATAGCATTTATCATACCTATATGGTAATAAGTCATCTATACAAATAAAGAATTTAGTTGTCACTTAAAATGTAGGGGTGGGCAAAAGAAGGTTTACAGTTGTGAGAAAGCAAAACAGGATTTATATTATTATTTATTATTGTATTGTTTACTTGTATTTGTTTTATTATTATTTCATATCCTTACTTATGATTTATCTTTTAGGTAATGATGGATGATAATTTAACCAATGAGCAACAAAAGTGGATACTGTAAACCTACTTTTGCCTCACCCCTGTGTGAGAAAAATATATATGCAAATATTTTTAAATTTTATTTTTCAATTACATTTAACATTATTTTGCATTGGTTTCAGGTATACAGAATAGCATTTAGGCAATCATATACGTTACAAAATGTCATCCCCAATATTTCAAGTAACCACCTGCCACCATACATAGTTATTACAATATTGTTGTGCATATTCCTTCTGCTTTACATCTTGGTGACTATTTTATAACTACAATACCAATTAATACTTCTTAATCCCTTCACCTTTTTCACCCAGTCCTTCAACCCCTCACCTCTTACAGCTGTCAGTCTTTTCTATTTTGTTTGTTTATTTTGTTCTTTAGATTCCACATATAACTGAATTCACTTGGTATTTGTCTTCCTCTGTCTGACTCATTTCCCTTAGCATAATACCTTCTAGGTCCATCCATGCTGTTGCAAATGGTAAGATTTTATTATTTTTTATGGCCAAATAATATTCCATGGTACATGTACCACAGCTTTTTTATCCACTCATGTATTGATGGGCACTTGGGTTGCTTCCAAATCTTACCTATTGTAAATAATGTTGCAAATAAACATAAGGGTGCTTTTAAATTAGTGTTTGGGGTTTCTTCAGATATATACCCAGAAGTGGAATCACTGGGTCATAAGGCAGTTCCATTTTTTATTTTTTGAGGAACCTTCACACATCTTGATGGCTGATTTTGAGAAATATATTCAGGTAATATTGACTGATGGGTCCTGAGCATGAACCACACACTGGGCACTGTAACGAGCATTTTACATGTGTATTTGCAAATAAAGCGTAAGAAAGGTACCATCACCAACTCCATGTTACAGATCTAAGTCTCAGAGTGGTTAAGTAGAGTATCAAAGGCCACACACCCAGTAAGTCGTAGAGCCAGGCAATCTTATTCCAGAGACCAAACATTTCATCAAGATGCTACAAAGAGGTTTGGGCTCTTTGTAAACAGAACTTGGAAAATCTCCAAATCTTATAGGTGTACCTGATAAAAACTTCTGGGACTTCTCATTTTCCTGTTGACATTGCCCAAGAGGCTTAGCATCAATTTTTTATGAAGATCATAATTCATCACACATAAATTATACTCTCTCTAAGAGGCTCGGCATTTAACAATTGTACTTTGTCAATATGGGACCACCTGTTATCCTTCTGAAGATACTAGAGGCCTGATGCACAAAATTTGTGCAAGAGCAGGCCTTTCTTCCCCTGGCTGCCAGCACCAGCTTCCCTCTGGCACCTGGGACCGGGGCTTCCCTCCCAACCCCAGCTTCGTTTGGAAGGTCGTCCAGAAAGACTTCCGGTCTAATTAACATATTATGCTTTTATTATTATAGATAATTCTAGAAGCATCAGTGAGAAAAAGAAGCAAAGGATCCAGGATTTCAATTTAATTTTCCTAATCTTTATTCCCCCTCAGTCCTCATATCTTTTTTTTTTTTTTTTTTTAATATATTTGTATTTATTTCAGAGAGGAAGGGAGAGGGAGAGAAAGGTAGAAGCATCAATGAAGAGAGAATCATTGACTGGCTGCCTCCTGCACACCTCTACTGAGGAATGGAGCCCACAACCCTGGTATGTACCCTATCTGGGAATCGAACTGTAACCTCCTGGTTCAATAGGTCGATGCTCCACCACTGAGCCACACCAGGTGGGCGGCTCTCATATCTTATTAGTTACCAAGTCTTGCATCTTTCTTTAAAATACCTTTTTTTTCACCCTTGTTCATGTCTTCTACTAAAATTCTGGTTTACACCTTTAACACCTCATTCCTGGATTATGGTCTGCCTCCCATGGGTCCTTTTGTCTCCGATCCTTTTGACACAGCTTGCATCTTATGCTTTTGGTGACATAATGAGACACACTAATAGAGGCTCTCTAGAAAAGAGACTAAAGCATATCCCAAAGCTTTGTAAGAATCAACACCAAATATTACACAGATGTAATTCCTGCAATGGGTTATATAACAGCAACTTTTCAACACTACATTCAGTTCACAAAAGTTTCTCTATTTGCCATAGTACTGGGTGGTGGGGGGAGGGAGAAAAAAGTGATAATTGAAGAAAAATTTTGATGATGTAGTTCTCTTATAAATTGGGAACAATGACCCTTGAAGGACCATAAAGAAAGTGAATGTCAAGATAATTTATTATTGTTATATTATCTACCTCATTTTTCACTTTGTCTTACTGAGCTGTGATATCCTTCCAGGGTACCAAATACCCCAAACATTAGGGAACACTTTTCCCAGTGTCTGAAGTAAGATAAAAAGGGCTCCAACAAAGAGTTAGTGAATTGCCCCTCTGCTGTTACTTTCATATCAGAAATGTTCATGGGAATGGGCCATGCATGTGGTCCCTGTGGAAGGTCTCGGATCGAGAAGGTTGCTATCTGTGTGGTTTCCAAAGGATTACAACCCTTTCTGAAGCTGAATGCACCTCCTTTTCCCGACCCCTGGGCTCCTTGTGTGATTTACGGTGGGTTGTTGTTTCCATCGTAGAAGAGCCAGTTTCTACGCGTGTCGGCTGGACAAACATTTATACGTTATTGGTGGGAGGAATGAAACCGGCTATTTGTCCAGCGTGGAGTGCTACAACCTGGAAACAAACGAATGGCGTTATGTGTCCTCTCTGCCACAGCCTCTGGCAGCTCACGCAGGAGCAGTGCACAATGGGAAAATCTACATTTCAGGCAAGTCCTCCCCCCACTTCCTGCTGCCAAGTTCAGTTCCCAGGCACTTTCCTGACTGGTGTATATGTGTTTAATTCACAGGGGGAGTACACAATGGAGAATACGTCCCGTGGCTATATTGCTATGACCCTGTGATGGACGTCTGGGCTCGCAAACAAGACATGAACACAAAACGCGCCATCCACACGTTGGCTGTCATGAATGATCGCTTGTATGCAATTGGAGGAAATCATTTGAAAGGTCTTTTTTTAAGAAATCATAATAACACTTGCATTTCACGTTTCTCGCTAAGGGGGGTGGGGAAGGTGTCTCATCAGATAAACATAGTTCATTTACCAGTAGCACTGGGCAAGCATCTATTTTGGCTCCTCTACAAGATAGGATTATTTTTAATTTACCACACATATTAAGGAAATGAATAATAATGTCTACAGAAAACTTAAAAACGAAAGCATTAATAACTGAAAAAGCACAAACAATGTGTAGTAACAATGAATTCAGTAAAAATAAATTATTCCTTATCAACTAAGTTATAGTAATGGATTTTGTCCACAAAATTGTTTTCTCTAGTAATCATAAAAACTTTAGTCATAGCTGTGCAAAGAAGCTAGTGTGTGATTTTTCTTAGGGAAAACACTTAGAATTTCATGTCTAAATTTAAATTTAGAATTATCTCTTTTAAGGCCCATCTATGATTCTCAAAGTTTTCCTATTTGCTTTTTTTTTTTTTTTTTTTTTTTTTTTTTTTTTTTTTTTTTAATAAAAGCACCTGCTTAAAGCACAGCATTTTTAGAGCCATGTCTTGGTTCCTCTCCTCCTCCTCATGTGTGCACGACTACATATTTTGTAGTGTATGCGCACATATGTAACTTTATGTGCAGTTCTATGACATTGAACTTGATAGGAAAGCAGAGAGATGAATACTATTAAGATTGTTATTGCTTTGGGCCTCAGTTTCCTCATCTGAAAATTAAGAAACTGATCCTTGAAATTGAACGAAATGAGAACGAGGCCATCTGGGTCTGGTAGATAAGGCCCATCTGAGCACTTATGTTTCAATTAGATAGACAGCTTTTAAAAAATGGCTTAGACATAGACTTTTTCTATTTTTCTACATACATATTTACCCCTAAAGATAATAAAGACCAGACAAGTATAACTTTAATGTGAATATATCCAAGTTCATATTGAATCAGAAGTGTCATTTCCTGATCTCTGCTGCTCATCTTAGAGGTCTCCCGATGGAGGAGGATTGTAGTTACTGCTGCTACGCTCCCCCTTCATTTTTCTCCTTTGCTGGCACTCCTTCATGTCAGCACACACTTCCTGGCCCATACATCCATGCGTTTTATATTAACTCAGTAGTTGCCTGCATTAAAACTTGATTTCTACTAATTTCTTTGCACAAGAATTCTTCTTTTAGGAACTTTTCATATTTATGTTTATACTTAATATAAGTATGTTTTATACTTATAAGGAAAGATTTGAGTAATGACAACTTAAATGAAAAATAGCACACACACATCAAATTAGGCTGGCTCAGGGAAGCCTGTGGCTTAGAGGAAAGGGTGTGGACATTGCATCTAAGCTTAGATTTGAATTCCAGTTGTGCACTTAAGTTGTGTAAGACACTCTCCCTCACATCTGTAAATGGGATAGTGATCCTTTCTTTGGTAGTTGTGAAGAGTAGAGTCTATAAATTTAGTTGGTACAGAGAAGGCACACACATTCTCATACGATGCCTCTAGGGCCTTAGAACCAGGAATTTGCCCAAACCTTCATTCCCAGTATGTATGCTTCAAAAACTGTCACCAATTATCTTAATGGTAAAGGAAAGAAAATATGCCACAGAGTTGCAATAAGCACATTACTCTGTTCCCAAATCTATGTGATTTCTTTTATGTAAAAAATTGGTAGCTTGAAATACTCTGTCAGCCTTTTCAAGAATGAAAACTATTCTACTTTTTGGCCTACCTTGTCAATTAATTTGAAGAGTCCAGTATGTCAATTTATTTATATTGTGTGCATTAGAATGGTCAGCTAGCAAATATCCATACCATACATTTAACTAGGAAAAAAATTCATTAAGATTTAGTTTGCTCAATGACCACAATACTCCCACTAGGGATTTTTTGACTGCCTACATTAAAGATCCAATAGAGTCCCGTAACCTAAGTTGTTCTCTGTGACCTAGTGGTGTCCCAGCCACTGAGAAACTTTATCAGAAGTGCCGGGAGAAGCCCTTCAGTGGGAGTTAGCCCCCTACTCGAAAGGAGGAGGAGCAGCTCAATGAGGACGTTCCATGCTCCAGCTGTAGCCTCCCACGATTCCTTAGTAGATATGGAACCGGTTCACATTGTCATGGCTGTTTATAAACATAGAGAGGCTGCCAAAAAGGTAAAATATGCTGAACAACAAATTTTAATTAGTTAAACATTTTGAGAAGTTTAAAGATTCATTTAAGAAAAGCAATATAGCCAGGACCAGTTTAGCTCAGTGGATAGAGCGTCGGCCTGCAGACTGAAGGGTCCCAGGTTCAATTCCGGGCAAGGGCATGTACCTTGGTTGCAGGCACAACCCCAGTGGGGGGGGGGGTGCAGGAGGCAGCTGATCGATGATTCGCTCTCATCGATGTCTTTAACTCTCTCCCTCTCTCTTCCTCTCTGTGAAAAATCAATAAAATATATTTTTTTTAAAAAAGCCATATAGCCCAGCCTGCGTGGCCCAGTGGTTGAGCATCAACCTATGAACCAGGAGGTCATGGTTCAGTTTCAGTCAGGGCATATTCCTGGGTTGCAGGCTGGATTCCCAGTAGGGGGCATGCAGGAGGTGGCTGATAAATGGTTCTCTTTCATCATTGATGTTTCTCCCTCCCTCTCTTTACTCTCTGAAATCAATAAAAATATATTTTTTAAAAGCAATATAGTTTAGTCTATAAAAGTGAGGGAGTTTAGACTATAAAACTGTAAAGCCTGTTCACTTAGATTCAAATCTCAGTCTATCTACTTATGGTCATCTGACTTACTCAAGTCATTAACTCTCTCTGTCCCTCAGTTTTCGCATCTATAAAATAAATATAATGGTATCACTATCTCATAGGATGACTGATGGGATTAAATTAGTTCATTTGTAGAAAGTGCTATAATAAGCTAGTTGTTTAGCTTATAAAAGCACTCTATAAAATGCTTACTTTATTATTAGTTTAAGCCTTTTTAAAAAGTTTCAATAAACCATTTTGAATAAAATCTACCCCCATATAATCAACCAAGGATATCTAGTCAGGTATTCTCACTTTCAGTCAATCTGGAACACCCAGAGTCTGGTTGTTTGTGTGCTGTTTGTTTGTTTTAGGTCTTTCTGACACTTCTAATTTCACCGTGAATGTAAGCATGCATGCCTTCAAGACCGATTATCTGCTTCTGCCTCTAGACCTTTTCTGAAAAGAAGCCCTGGCCTTCGGGTGGGACTGTGAGAGTTTGTCTTTTGTGATTCCATTCTGCTGTGTCCCTCAGGCTTCTCCCACCTCGATGTCATGCTGGTGGAATGTTATGACCCAAAAGGTGACCAGTGGAACATTCTCCAAACTCCCATCTTGGAGGGCCGCAGCGGCCCTGGCTGCGCAGTGCTTGACGACAGCATTTACCTCGTGGGAGGCTACAGCTGGAGCATGGTACGTCCTCCTGCTCCTCCTCCTCCTGGTTTATGCTTACTTCTTTGTAAATTTCATTTCAGCTTTTTTCTTTCCATCTTTATTGCTGAAAGAATTCATATGCCCCCCTTCTCCCCGCACTGACCTCTTTTTGCCCGCCCCTGCCCCCCACCATGCCTTCACCACCCTATTGTCTGTGTCCTTGGGTTACACATACAGTTATGCATAAATGCATACAAGTTCTTTGGTTGTTTCCCTCAAAATGTGTTACCACCCATGCATGTACCTTTTAAGAGCATCATGCTAAAAGAAAGAAAGAAAGAAAAAAAAAAGAAAGAAAGAAAGAAAGAAAGAAAGAAAGAAAGAAAGAAAGAAGTAATAATAATAATAAAGAGTATCGTGCTTAGATGCCAACAGTCAATTACTTTAGTAATGGAGTCAGTGTGGTTGCAGTAGAGCTGGCTTGCTCTTTGATCAGCTGTGTTATAAATGGGTTAGCTCTCTGGTTCTCTCCTTCCCCATGCTTTGCAATTCTGGCTTTCCAAGGAAAAGTCAGACTAAAGTGGCTACATCAATGTTCTGTTGAAATTGTTGGGATAGGAGAGTCTGAAAAGTTTCTGCCCAGTGAGGCATGAAAACAGAAATCCATTGTTTAATATCCACAGGTTCTGTGGAGGATGTGTCATTTGCCATTGTGCTTCACTTTCCCCCCTTTGTCAATCAATTTCCAAATGCACCCAACATTCAGAGTCCAGTGGGCCCTCATTAACACACCATCCAACTTCAACATCCGTCCACATTTCGCCACACTTACCTCATTTATCCTTCAAAATTGTTTTACTGAAGCAATTGGTAGCAAATTCTAGACATCACATTATTTTATTCTAAACGTGTCAGTATTTAACCTTTTAAAAGTATTCATTTATCTAAACACAGTCCCTATCACACCCAACAAAATCAACAATAATTGCTTTATATCCAAAATAATATTCTCATGAATATTCTCCTATTCATTTTTTAAACATGTATTTTTCAAATTCTGTGTTAAAAGGTGTCTCACGTGTAGTAGTTGCTAGCTCTTACACATCTACAAGGTGCAGCCTTGCCTCTCTCCCACTCTTGTTCGATGCCTCTGGCCAGCTGGGAAAACAGGGTCTATTACATAGACCATCTCGCATTCTACAGCTAGCCGACGTCATTTAAAAATCATCGTGTGTCCCTATTCCCTGTAGACTGGAAGTTAGAGATAAAGGCTTAGTTAAATTCAGCTCTTCTTTAAAAAAAAATTTTTTTTCTGTTATTTATTTTTGGCAAAAACAAGTGAGGCTCCGTAATTCAACCAACATCACATCAGGCATCTACCATCACTTTTTAAAAGATGACTTTGCATCTTTTTCTGTTTCTATGTGTTGGTTTTGTAAGATTAATTCGGGGTTATAACCATATGAGTTTACTTCTTTTTGCCTCTAACAAGGGAGTCACGTGAAGTTGTGGGGGGGAGCGTTAAGAAGATATTAGTTACACGGAGGCACATGTGTATTGCCACACATAACTAGATAGCAGTGCATGTGCCTGTTTGCCAGTGCCAGTGGCTAGCCACCGGAGTCCCCGGATTTGGAACCAGGCTTCCCTCTCAGAAGGTGATGGTGAGGTTGGTGGGGACTTTTGTCTGTCTGTTCCCTGTGACACAAAGAAAGCTGCTTCGGTCTGGGAAGGGAAATGTTCCACAGGCACTAACCCCGGAGGTTGACAAAGGGAACAAGCTTAGTGTTTGTTCCCCACGTGGCCTCTTGAAAGCGAACCAGTGGATGTGCGAAGAGATCAGCACGCTGTCGCCTGCAGCTCATTTTAACCCGGTTCTGAATCCCGGCGCTAATCCCTTCGACAGCAGTGACATAAAAATGGAAATGTGAGCAACGATCTAAAATCCAATTTACTGTAATCATTTGACTATTTCAGGTGAAATTTTTTAAATGTAACCCAGCAGGATAATTCCTTTTTTTTTTTTTTTTTGTGGTCAATTATTTTAAGGGATTTGTTGATTATCCAGGATGTTCTAGGTACTTAACTTTTCTTATTAGTTACACACGCATAAAAACCGATTTTAAAAATTGGTCCACCTCAAATTTCCCATTGGATTAAAACAGTGGCAGACCCGCTGCTTTCATGCCGAGGTTTTGAAACAAGAGCGGAGAACGGGCCTTTGCTTGGCGGGGTACCTGTGATCGATGAGCTGCCCTGGCAGGCTTCCGAGCCGGCGCCCTAAGTGCTCTGTTCTGCCTTGCAGGGGGCCTACAAGTCGTCCACCATCTGCTACTGTCCCGAGAAAGGCAGCTGGACGGAGCTGGAGGGAGACGTGGCAGAGCCCCTGGCAGGCCCAGCCTGCGCCCCGGTCATCCTGCCCGCCTGCGTCCCTTACAACAAATGACGCCAGGAAGCCCCGGAGTGACAGCGCCCCGCTCCGGGACACGGCGACAGGTGACATCGCGGCTAGAACTAGGAACGATGCATTCGAACCGTTGCAAAAGGAAAAAGACCTGCTCCCGAGCAGATACTGTGTCTGTGACTCAGATCACCACCCACTCCCGGCGGTGACAGACTCTTCCATTTCAGACTGGTTTGAACTTGTCCCAGCTTGACGGAAACACCTCCCCGTGGATCTGAACTTCCCAAAGGAGGAAGGAAACACACAGGCGAGCGCCCGAGAGACGGGCGATCAGTGTTGTGCGTTGTAGTCTACCTGCATGTGGTCTTTGTTGACGTTTTTGGGGATATCGTGTTCATGAATGACTCAGAATGGGACCCACTAAAATCCGCACCCTGCATTCCAGGAGTTGCCACTTGATTCCGTGTTCCTAACCTGTGGCTCCGTCACAGACTCCCTAGGCAACACGGTTGTAGAAAACCCTGGCAGGTTCAAGAGCAGCACTTCTGTTCCTGTAGAACCTGATCTATGCCGTCTGCCCCTTCCAGCCTCGGGGATGAGAGAGGAGTAGGAGGCTGGCTCTGGTGGCAATTGCTCTCTGCCCTGGAGGCCCCATGCTAGCCAAAGTCATCGTTTCTGTGTCCTCAATTTTGTCTGAAAGATTAAAAGAAAATACACTATGTCACTATTCGGTCCATGGAGTCTTGCTCTTTTTATTTATTTATTTATTTATTGTTTTACAGAATATAAGCCAGTAGTGAACACCCGATATTTGCTCCCAACGGTAGGATTGGCAGGCAAGTCATCCATGTTGTGTATTCTGTTGGGTAACATATCTGACCCAAACTTAACCCACAGGAAAACTGGGAGATAGCTTTCAGGAATTCAGGAGCAAAAAGAAAGAATAATTTCTGTTACGACAGTCCCAGATGTCTCTCTGTCCCTAACACACGACCTACGAGAGCCACAGGAGCAAACGATGGCTCCTAACAAACAGGTCCCCCTCGTCCTCACTGTGGCTCTACAAATGGCTCTAGATTTGGCTCTAGAAAAGCACATGACTCACCCTGGTCATTCCCCCAACTCATCCTCCACATTTGTCACCAGCAGAGGCGCCCGAGCTCAGCGTGGTGGGCAGTTGCTGGGTTTTCCGGAGCCCAGGGAGGAAGGCAGGAGGGCAGGGGATGGTCTCCATGGGGCCAAACCAACAAAACTGGCAGCAACAGGAGTTGGATGTTCAATCTCTTCGGATCTGGAAAACATCTGATAGGTGTCAATAAAAGCCTAAAGTGTTTTTTTAGTCACCCAGAGATGTCTGCGAGCCCCTTTAGCACATGTGGCATTCAGGACAGCAGCCTGGGAAGCCACGGATGGAAACGGCCTGGCGCTGAGCTCTCCCCTCGGACACGCCCAGGCGGACAGGTGTACCGGAATCTGCTGCGCCTCTACAGTCAAGTGCAATCTTCGTTGTTTTTGTATTTATTTGTATGTTCAGATCCAAAGGATCCGTTGTAAAATATATATAAATATATACCCAGTGCAATCAGCCTTCATGTCCTTTTCCTTGAAAGCATCTGAAAATATAGAAAGCAAGAAAAGGTACAGTGTTCTGTGGGAAAGTCCCAGCTGACGCCCTGAAGAGAACTAGGTCTGCTCCGAACCTTTCGCAGTCACCTGTCACCACCCCGTCTGAATGTCACCGTTTATACTCAGATTTTTGCTTTCCTTACACGTGTTCTTCATTTATGTTTTATTTCTGACTAAAATAAATAAAAAGCATTTATGAGGACAATAAATAAAGCTTTCTGTACTTCAGAAGGACACAAATTATTAGTGGGAAATAAATAATTAAGTCACAGAGGATGTAAATTTTGTACAATATTAGAATGTGTAAATGAAGCTTGCTTGGAAGGGGGGAAACTTGAAATAAAAGCTTTATGTACTAATTCAATTGTCTCTATCTTCCTACTTATAAAGCCTATGTATAAATCTCTACATTGAATTGTTTAAATGTTTGTAACATATAAATGCCTAAGTGTTTTTTATTCTGCAGTACACTTTACAAGTGGATTTATATACTTCCTGGCAGTATATAAATGTACACAGTATGGACAATGCTAAAAAATATGGAATGTGTCAGGAAAATGTTGAGTTAAAAATAATGAGTCGAATCAGGTTTTCTAACTGTTCGAGTGTTACAATGAGGCATGACTTACCCAAGATCTAACAACTAAATATTTATAGAAAGTATTGTAGTAGAAGCACCATATGTATTAAACAGTATTTGCACACTTTCTAAAATAAACCACACATTGAATTAGATATATTCTCTAAATATATACTATTTCATTTTATTTTTTTTTAAATCTGAAAAAGAAATTGTGCAGGGCAAGGAAAGAGGCTGAGGCAGACCATAGGGGAAACTTAGGCATGTATCTGCAGGAAGAAGGTGGGCAACCTTCCAGGGAAAGAATTCTGAAGGGTCGGAAGCTACTTCCTGAAGCTTCCAAGCCAGAAAGAATTTACTTCCATGCTTCCTAGCTGAATCTACCATTCTTAGGGGTCAAACTCACAATTCAAGGGTTATTTGATCTTCCTGGTATTCCATGAAATCCATGGTGGGTTCTGTCTCCTTCTTTCTCCTGGCCCTTCCCCTCTGCACCCTGGCGTACCAGACCGGAAAGAGCCTCTCTCTAGGATAGCCTCCGTTACCATCTCCTTTAGACCCAGTGGCTCCTTTCAGCAGGGCTTCTTCCAAATGCCCCGAATCCTAATTCAAAGCTATTATATCAACAATTAGAGGCCCGATTCACAGAGATTCGTGCCAGAATGGGCCTTCCTTCCCCTGGCTGCCAGCACCACCTTTGCTCTGGCCAGAACTGCCTTTCTCCAACCCGGAGCCGCCTTTCTGCCTTCCCACACTGTCCAGAGGCCTGGAGCAGCTGGAGTAGGTGCTGTCACCATGGGGACGATGCAAGCATCCCTCAACATCCCCCGGGCTGCTTGGTGCCTGTGTATGCAAATTAACCTGCCATCTTTTTTGGTTAATTTGCATACTCCTGATTGGTGGGCATCATGAAGGTATGGTCAATTAGCATGTTACTCTTTTATTAGGTAAATATTGTATAATACTAGTAGCCCTGTGCACGAATCCGTATGCCAGTAGCTCTCTGCAGGGCCTGGCCATTCCTTGCCTGCTGCCCAGAGGATCTCTATGGCCCAGAGGCCATCCATGGCCGGGCATGAAATGCTGCATCAACGCTGCTTGTCTGATGAGAATGCTGCTCATGCTGCCCGCTCTCAGCGGCCACCTCCCACCCAAGACTGGGGGGACTCCGGAGGGGCTGAGGGAGGACTGGGCACTGCCATCTTATGGCTATGGGTGCTGCCATCTTTGTTATGGGGTGATGATTAATTTTCATATTACCCTTTTATTAGCTAGGATTTCCACTAATGAAATGCTTACTGAGTCAGGCACTATGCTGGGCATTTTATTTGTGTTTTCTGTTTACTCTGAACAGCTCTGTAAGGTAAATATTATTCATCTTAAAGGTAAGGACACATGCCCAGAATAGATAAGCTATTTTAGTAAAGTGTAACAGCTGAGAAGTAGCAGATTCACACCAAGGTGTTAACCTAAGGTCCTCCTCCAATCACCATACTCCTTCCTGCCCACAAAGAAATTTCTTAAATCAACCACTTGAAGTCATGTGGGAATTCCTAGTAGATTGGCTGCTTTTCCCACATAGGAAAAGAATGTGCTGGAGGAAAAAGTGCACACTTAATGCTGATGTGTTCCGGTTAATTCGATATTGATGGTGAGGATGAACTGCTGGGAAGCACAGGCGTGGGCAGAACCAGCAGGAGCCTGCTCTGTGACCTTGAGAGGTTCCAGTTGTGTTGTCTGTTTTGGAGTGATCATCTTTTCTTCAAATGACTATTGTGAAAATCACGTGTAAAGACACTATTCCTCATAAACTCTGAAGTAAAATACACATCTCTTAGGATGCGATGACCAAGTTCAATTGTTAGCCTGGCGTGGGAGAGACCCTCAAGTCTGGCCTCAGCCTCACTTTTAAGTCACATTTTTCTTTTCTAGTCTGTTCCTTAAGCAACGTGCATCCCTGCTTTTCCACACGCACAGCTATGCTCTTCCATTGTGCCTTTTGCTTGTGGGTGTTCTCCACTGGGAATGCATTTCAGGCTCCACACTACCTAGTAAGACCCTGTCCTTCAAGGTCCCCGTTCAGACTCCACTGCCTTCCTTAAGGTTTCGAGATCACAAGTCTCCGGTGATATGTTTCATCTGACTTCCTATGGCTCTCTTCTTTTGTCCATTTAGTGCTATTCGTCAGATTTCGTGTCTTACCCTCTTACTAGAACCAGGGTTCTTTGAGGGTAGGAATAATGTGCAATATGACTTGAATAAACCATAAAGCCATGAAATATTTGTTGAATAAAATACTTTATTTAATGTGTAATGTAATCAATTATAAACATTTTGGGAAATACAGCGGGGTTGGGGGGGGGGGAATTACCTTGACTTCACCAACAACAGAATAACTTTTACTTTTGTAGGGATATTTGCACTTTTTGCATTGTATACAACTGAGTTTACATCTTGGCATCTTCACGTTTTAGCATTTCACAAGCATGTTTCCATGAAACTAGGTGGTCTTTACAGGCATTGTTAACAATTTCACAGGATGCTGGTGCACATTTCAACAATGGCCACTTTTGACTGATGTCCTGGTGTCACTCACAATCCTCAGACAGCATACTGATTTTTTACAGAAAGGAAGGGAGAGGGATAGAGAGTTAGAAACATCGATAAAAGAGAAACATCAATCAGCTGCCTCCTGCACACCTCCTACTGAGGATGTACCCGCAACCAAGGTACATGCCCTTGACTGAAATTGAACCCCAGGACCCTTTAGTCCACAGGCTGACACTCTATCCACTGAGCCAAACCGGTTAGGACTGGACAGGATTGCTATGTGTCCTTTCTGACTCCCTCCCAGCAATTTCCCTCCACAGATCATGTTCTACCCAACTGCCACTATTGTTTCACCGTAACAAACAAGTCAAAATATATGAAGCTCCTAGCTCTCCAGAATTATGGCGCATTCAGTTCATCTCTGGCCATTTTCCTCACCTCACATTTCTGACGAGAAATGCTCCAACTCCAAGCCCTTTCCGGATAGTTGTGGTGAGTTTTACTTTCCTTGTGAATGGACCTGGACCACCAAGACTCCACTTCAGGCCACATGGTGCTCATAGACTTTGGCAGGAAGTTCTTTTCTTGTCTTACAGTCTTGTCTTAAAAGCAACGCAGACAATTAAAACCAGCTGGGATGGAATGCCACACAAAATGTATTCATTTATTTCCCAACATGATTTGCCAATGTTAATCCAACTTTCAGGAAAGAAGGAAAAGAAAGAGCTTTAAAGCCAAACAGCCCTGGGGGCTACACATCTGATGGGAAAATGTAACCCACATCTCTAGGTAGCCATCCTTAGGGCGGTCATCTCCTCCTCTGAATTCTTAGAATGTTGCCTGCCTATCCTGTTCATATAACACCTCTCATGTTTTATTATATAGACAGTGTTTTACTGTATTCTTATGCCTTATTTTCACTAATCCCCTTGCTATAGAATGGACAATGCCTAAAATGTGCTTTTCCCACAATGTTTTGCCCATTGTGGAACTCAACAAATGGACATTGGATTCTAGAGGCATACAGAACTCCTAAAGTAGCACAGTCATTTCGGACTCAGAATTCTATGCTCGGAATCTTGAAAATGTAAGTTGTACAATACATGGATTTTCTCAAAGACAAATCTGACTGCTGCCCATATGACAAACCCTGTCTCTGTGTGCAAGATAGTTGCCTTTGTTAAATTAACCATGTGTTCCCTATTTAGTGACTGTGAAAACCAGAATTTTAATGCAAAAACCCTTGTTCGGTTGTATAAAAGCCCTGCTTTTATGAAAATCTTGGCCCAGTAAAATAAATGGGGTAGTAGTTGTGAAATTCTGGCATCCAGCTCAGAAAATACAAGTGGTGAGGATGAGTATGTAATAAATCTCTTGGTATCCCCAAGCAATATATTCAGTATTATACTATCAGTCTTTCATTCACTTATTCCTTCTACCCTGGGCAAAGCTGTATGATATGCCCTGTTGAGAACATAAATATCTATAAGTCACTGTAATGCAAGGTACATGGCATAAAGAAATACAAACAAGGTGACGTGGGAATTCTCGAAATGATGAATTTATGTCCGACTAGGGAATCTGGGAAGGCAGGGCCAGAGAAAGTATACAAGGTCAGTCCTGAAAAATAGGTAGAAAAAAATTCTTCTACTAATGTTTGTAAGATAATCCTTGAAAATAAAGTAAATAACAAAACCAGTTTCATATGGAAAACTACTAGGTAAGATATTCTAATCATCTCCAGTTTAGTATATTACATGCTGGTATAATTAATGGAGAAAATGAAAAAGTGTGAGGGCAAGGACTTTTCATGTTTAGCTAGAACAAGGCAAATCTGCAGTAGGGCAAGGGCAATTCAAAGCTATTAAAGTAATTAGGGTTTGATGAACTACAGTTCCACAGAGAGAGATAGTGTTTGGAGGTGAGCTGATGATGGCCAGTAACTTTTTTCTCTGGGACATTTCTAAGTCCTGGCCACAAGTTGTCCAACCTTGGCCCGTTCAGAGGACCTACACTGTAGGAACCAGAAATTGGCCAACTCTTAGCTGTCACACAGAACTGGAGTGACAAAATGAAAACCTGAGGGAGCCCTACTCATGCAGCCAATTTCCCCTGAAGGAAATCTCTGGAGTTCTGGTGTTACACAGAACAATGGGGAACTAGGCCCCAAAACTTCTAGAAGGCAAGAAAACGTTTCCACCATTTCACAGTGCTTCTGAACGAAAGACT